TTATGCAACTAAGACACATTGTTGTATTTCCTCTGTAATATTATTCGTAGAGAGATCCAATCCTTGAAGAAATAATAGATTACGTAGACTTGTGGGTATGCTTCTGTGGATCTTGTTACCTTGTAACTAACTCAAAACAATTAAATCATGCAATTTATGGCCTAACCATGTTTGTAATGTTCATTCAAGTGTGTTGTCCCTTAAATCAATGACTCTTATAGTGTGTTTGGATTAAAAATTTTACAAATTCAAGAAATTTTAAATTTTTGGTATCTGAATTACTTTGATTTCAATTTCTATGATTCTTAAAATATTTTGTTTAGATAAGTCAATTCAAATTTCTCAAATTTTAAATTATTGGGTTGAATATGATAATTTGATTCCATCATAGTAAAATTGATATTAAAAATATATTTATATGTTGAGATTTTTAAATTAAATTTTATAAAAATAAGTATTAGCTAATTTTTAAATATTTAATAATTTTAAAAATTAATATTAGATAATTTAATAATTTTAAAAATATTTTTGAATATTCAATAATTAAAAACATGAAGAGATAAGAGATAAGATAAAATATATAAGTGAAATAAGAAAAAAATATTAGAAATTTTAAATTCTTACTTTTTTGGGAGAATTTGAAATTTTACTATTTCAAGAAATTTCACAAATGCTTGAATTTCAAATTCCTAATAAATTCTTCATCCAAACAAGATATTTCACCTCAAAGAATTTGAAATTCTTCAAATAAATGAATTACTCTATTTAAATTCCCCGTCCAAATACACTATTAAGCTTTTGCAAGAAGTCAAAGATAGAATTTTCCTAGAGAAATTGTCGTTGTTTAAATGCATCGATTAAATATTTCGTAGAGTACCAATTGACTTGGGTATTCTCCATGATAAGTTATTGTTTGCTAAATTTAAAAGTTCCAAACTTTGAAATTTCTCCCAACAATCCAGAAGTGGCCCTACTAGTAAGTTACTAGACAAGTGAAGTTGGGTTAAATACATTGGCAAGATTACACGCCAAGAAGATGAAGAACCTGAGAACATATTATTTGAGAAAAGTATAGTAGATTGAGTGGGAGGAAAATGAGATAGTGGACTAGAAAAGTTGTTGAAACTAAAATCCAACACAAGAAAATCATCCCCTTTTATACTTTGTATTGATTTTTGTAAGTCACCGCCAAGTTTATTATGACAAACGTTTAAGTACAATAAACTTGAAGATATGTCCTAAAACCATTTAGGAAAGGAATCTTTAATTCCAATATTAGAGATATGCAGCACCCCAAGTTTTCTTTGATATTTAAGCCTGATTGGGAATTCAGGCCCCAAAATGCATGATATAATTGGTACAACTAGAAAGGTGGAACCCAATTTGAACTCAAGTTAAATGAAAGTTGTACCTGCATGAGAGTACACTCGTAATCTTCTGTGAGGAAGGGCCGAACAGGAGCTTCAGGTAAATACTTCGGAAGGGGGGGAGGTAACTGCAAAAGGAAATAACAAGATAAAGTAAGGACAAACAAGCTTTTATAGGGTAAATAATGAACAGTGACGTACCTCGTTACGTGCGACCTATTTATAATACCTGACATGGGCCTGACCATGGTGAACCTTTTCTGACACTTACCAAATTAGGTAATACAATGCTAATCAGCTAATCATGTCTTAATCATGCGCTTATCCTTGTTAACTGTGATTTGTACTATAATCCGTTTAACCTTTCAGCACATCGCCGAGCCGACAGGCTAAGGCTTGGGAAGTTGCACGTCCTCGGCTGTTGACCAGGCCGACAAATGCTTACTCGGTTACCTTACTTGGTCGGTGCTTGGCCGAGCCGATACGTAGTGTACGGAGATGCATCATGGCGCCGTTCGTATCGGCCTTCAACCAAGCCGATACTGCTAGCAGACTCTTCTCGGCCTTCGGTTCTAGGCCGAGCCGATGCTAGCGTCAGGGTTTTAGGTATGGTTCAGTTCGCATGGGTGTTTGACGAAACGGCACGTGTTGGTCCACGTGACCGATAGGGTCCTCCAGGTACACAAGCCCCCCAGCCTTTAGGAGTGAAACGACGCAAAGGGTAAATGTGGTATTTCGGTTGTTACCTTTTTTGAGGGAAGGCCAAGAGTTACAACTGCTGATGGGAAGCGAAGGGTTGTAACCAATGGGCATTAATGACGCATGCGAGGAGTTATGACTGCTAATGGAAGGCAAAGAGTTGCAACCGTTGTCGGAATACTAATGGTTATAATCGTTGGGTATTAATGACGTATGCGAGGGGTTACGCATCATGAACCGTTGGATCTAAGTGATCCAACGGTGTGTATAGGGGTATGGCGCTTGATAAACTTGCAAGGAACGCTTATAAATAGGCATGTGCGAGGGGTCCCCAAAGATACGCATTTATCACTTGCTCCGAGCCGAGATCAACTGAGTTGCGGTGTTCGAGTATTCTTCAGCAAAGATTGGTCAAGTTCAACAATCAGGTACGTAATGGCAGATGTAAATGTTGTTCATATTGACTCCTCTGGGGACACAGGTGATTCTGGGTTGAGAGCGACGCCGGACCGAGACGTCGCATCGGCCTCGGCTTCCAATGGGGAGGATCATGTAGAGTTCGTTTCCGGGTCCGAACGGTTACGGAGTGGGAGTGATTTTTCATCGGCAATAGTCTCTGATGATCATCCGAGCAGGGGTGGTGGATCGTCCAGGAATTTTTCTCCCATATCGACCCCTGGGTACTCGTGGGTGCACGGGGAGGTTGGCAGCGTGTATTCCCGGTATATCGACAAGAACTCTCTTATCCATTTCGTATCGGCAGTGAAATTCTTGACCTTTCCTGAGGAAGAGGAACCCTCTGCCATCTTTTTCCAGCCGTGCCGAGGCGATGGAGGGCCGAATCCGGATTTCGTGTACTTGAGCCAAAGGTCGTGCAAATACCAGTTCTTTTATGTGTACGATTACATGTTCCGGGACTTGAAGATAACTCTCCCTTTTGATGGTTATTTTATCGGTATACTGCGGCTTCTGAACGTGGCACCGAGTCAACTTCATCCAAACACTTGGGCAGCAATGCAAGGGTTTAGATAGTTGTGTTTGGCTCTCGGCATCCAGCCCACTCCGCATCTATTCCTACACTTCTATTCGTCTCGGCCTACGAAGAAGATTAAGTGGTTGTCACTGGTTCGGCACAATGATTGCCTGTTACAACCTTTCACCACTTCCTATAAAAATTTCAAAGTGGGATTTATGAAGGTGATGATTCGGCCGGAGACAGGGAATAAATACTTCTTCGATGCCGAAGGGAGATCACTATTTCCGTTGTACTGGACTCGGAAGCCGAGGAAGTACGAAACGGTGTCCAAATCTTGAATGTCCCCGGAGGAGAGATCGAGTTTGAATTTTTTAGAGAAATTGCCCCGGCCTTTGCCATGTTGTCCTCTGGTCCGACTATGTGAATCGGCCGACGTAGTCGAAGAATTGATTGGTATAGTACCTTTCTTACTTGTTTAAATTCTTGCGTTATCATTGATTTTGACTAATGATGTGCGGGTATCATGGCGAATCATGGAGAGGACGATCTGTACATTCGTACGTTGATCAGGAACCAAGTGGCGGTGACCACTGCGAACAAGACCCCGACCGGCGTGCGCGAGAATCAACCAACTGCCCAAGGTGGTGGGGCGGGGCCAACGGGAAAATCAAGGAAGCCCACCCGGCCCCAGCCCGAAAAAAGAAGGCCTGACCCAAGGGCCGAGGAAGAGAGCCGTCGGGCTAAGCAGCGCCGCGTGGCTGGTCCAACTGTTCCAGAAGGCTTGGCTGGACCAAGTTTTTTGGCTAACAATGTTAACGCTCAGGATTTTCTGAGCCAAGACTTGACCTCCGAATCGGGTCAAGGAGTGCTGAGTCGCATGACCTCGGCTCAGAAATGGAGCTTCTTCTGTGAGTTCCAAGTGCGTGCTGTGGCCTTGGCACAAAGCATCATGATGGAGCCGAACGGCGAGGCCGATGCACTGCGTCGACAACTAGCTGAGCAGGAGAAGTCTCTCCAAGAGACTCTGGCAGCGCTTATTGACGCCCAAACGACCAACAACAAATATCAGGCCGAGATGGATCGCCGGGGGCGAACTACTGACGATCTGGCTTTGAAGGTTCACCGCCTTGAGCTTGCCTTGAAGAGCGAGACAGAGAAGGTTGCTGCTTTGGGTAAGGAGTTGGATGCTGAGAAGATTGCTTTCGGGGCTTATAAGGAGAAAGCGCGCAACAAGGTCCTCACTCAACATCAGGCTGGCTTTGCCCAGGCGGCTCGGAAAGCATGCTTTTTTGGCGACTTCCCCCCTGAATTTCACCTTGATATGACAAAGGACTTCTTCCAGGGGAAGTTGGTGGACCTGACTTCCATCCCTCCAGACCAACAGGCCGACGAGGAAGCCCCGGCACGGCAAGCTGAGCCGAATGAGGAGGTGACGACGTATGAAAAGGGTGCGCCTGAAGATGATCCGGTTCAGGGCGAACCGGAGGTGAGGTCTTAAGCTTTTTATTGTTCTTTGTATTAATGGGCCGATAGTGCCCTTTTTGAATGTACTTTTCTAGGCCGATAGTGCCTTGTTAAATGAATTTAGATTTTCCTTGGCCAAGAGACATCTCGGGAGGGAAGACTTGTGATTGGAAATAAAATCGCAGAAATGTAAAACAAGTCATAGATAGTTGAACTGTCTTGTTATTGATTGAGTGGATGCCTCGTTAAAAACTTGCCAGCCAAAACCTTTTTTCACAATTTTTTAAGAGGAAAAAGGACCGGTTCAAGGAAAAGAATGCATCATTAGACATTTTCAGATGTACATTCGTTAAATTCTAACTGTAATAGGTCTTCAAATGAGTAGAATTCCATGTCCGAGGGATGACCTTGCGAGACAGTTCTTCTAACTTGTAAGCTCCATTGTGGAGGGTATGCCGTATCCGGAACGGTCCGTCCTAATTGGCTGCGAGCTTTCATTCGGATGAGTTGCGCCTTGCCAACCCGGTTGCTCTCCATACGAGATAGCCTTCATGAAATGTCCTCGGCTTTAGGTTGGAATTAAAGCGTCGGGTCATGCGTTGTTTGCATGCTTCGGCCACTACCTGTGTCTTCTCTCGTACTTCATCGAGAACATCAAGTTCGGCTCGGAGTGAACTGTCGTTAGACTCCTCATGAAAGTGTTGTCGCCGAAATGACAGTTCCCCCACCTCAACCGGGATCATCGCGTCCGCGCCGTATGTTAGGCAAAAAGGCGTCTCGTTGGTGGTTGATTGTGGTGTACACCGGTATGCCCAAAGGACTTCCGGTAGCTCTTTGGCCCATGCTCCTTTTGCCGAACCGAGTCTCTTCTTGAGTTCAGTGAGTATAACCTTGTTGGCTGCTTCGACCTGTCCGTTTGATTGAGGGTGCTCATCTGATGTGAACCGGTGCCAAATGCCGAGGTTTTCAAGGAAAATGTTGATCTTCTTGACAGGAAATTGAAGGCCATTGTCGAAAACGATGGCGTACGGGATGCCGAAGCGGGTAACCACATTTTTCCAAACGAACTTCTGGACATTGGCTGCGGAGATGCAGGCGAGCGGTTCGGCTTCTATCCACTTTGTAAAATAATCTACTGTGACCAAAAGAAACTTGACCTGTCCTTTTGCCACGGGGAATGGTCTAAGTACGTCTATGCCCCATAACCCAAACGGCCATGGGGAGCTGATACTGTGCAACTCGGCGGCTGACGCGTGGATGAGGTTTCCATGCTTTTGACATTGCACACATTTTTTAACGAACTCGGCGCAATCTCCTTTCAGGGTTGGCCAATAGTAGCCGGCACGCAAGACTTTGGCTGCCAGAGTTCGTCCCCCTGAGTTTGATCCGCAGATACCTTCGTGGATTTCCCTTATTACGTAGTCAGCTTGGTGATTGTCGATGCATTTGAGCAGCGGGGTGGAGAATCCCCTCCTGTAGAGTTCATCGGCCACCATGGAGTACCGAGCCGCTTGTGTTCGTAACTTCTTTGCTTCCACCGGGTCAGTTGGCAACTCCCCTTGGACAATAAAGCTCCGGATGGCGGTCATCCAGGTCGGTGCTTCAGTGCCGGTTGTCATACACTCAACTGTCACACTTGGGGAAGGAATCTCAAGGTGAATGGTTGTTCGCAACTGTCCTGGCTTTCGGCTGCTGGCGAGCTGAGCTAGATGATCGGCTCGTTCATTGTTGCTACTCAAGACGTGTCGTATCTGAACCTCGGTGAAATCGTCCTTGAGTTTTTGGAAGAGGTGATAACATTGCAACAAATTGGAGTCTTTGACTTGAAAGTTATCATTGACCTGTTCGGCCACGATTTTAGAGTCAGTCCAGCATGTGATTCTCTTGACGCCCATCTCGGTTGCTAATCTCATTCCGGCTATCAAGGCTTCGTGTTCTGCTTGGTTATTTGAAGCACGAAAGTCGAACCGAAGGGATTGTTCGACTGTGATACCTGAGGGGCTAGCGAGGATTACTCTGGCGCCACTACCTTGGGCATTAGAGGACCCATCAACATGCATGGTCCACGTCTCGTCTTCAAAACGTCCTGGAGGAGTCAGCTCGTTGACGAAATCAGCCAAATGTTGCGACTTGATCGGGCCTCTCAGCTCGAATGATATGTCAAATTTTGAGAGCTCGACCGACCATGCCATCATCTGACCGGCAATCTCTGGTTTCCAGAGGACCTTTGCAACCGGGCAGTCAATTCGGACGATCATCCTGTGGCTTTGGAAGTGCTGCCTTAACTGTTGGGCTGCATAGATGAGCCCTAAGGCCACCTTTTCCAACAGCTGGTAATGTCGCTCGGCGTCTTGCAGCGTCCGGCTGATAAAATACACAGGTTGTTGTATGTCTTGGTTCTCTTGTATCAGGACAGCACTGATTGAACTGCCTGAGACAGCTAAATACACAATCATGTCAAGGTTGGCAAATGGTTTGGAAAGGATCGGAGGTGTACTAAGACGCTCCTTGAACAGTCGAAATGACTCTTCACATTCCTGGGTCCATTCGAACTGCTCTGTCTTCTTCAGCAAGAGAAAGATAGGTCTAGCTATATCAGCCAGGCAAGGAAGGAACCGAGAGAGTGAAGTGAGACGACCTGCCAACTTTTGAACCTCTTTTAGAGTACTTGGACTTTTCATATCCAGAATGGCCTGGCATTTGTCAGGATTTGCTTCAATGCCTCGGTTGGACAACATGAACCCTAAAAATTTGTCGCCTGAGACCCCGAACACACACTTCTCGGGGTTGAGCCATTTGGTGGTGCCGAAGTGCCTGGAACACTTCGGTCAAGTCTTGTGCATGTGTAGATACGTTACTTGACTTTACCATCATATCATCGACGTATACCTCCATGCTTCGGCCAATGTGGTTACTGAAAATTTTGTTCATCAGCCGCTGATAGGTGGCTCCGGCGTTTTTCAATCCGAAGGGCATCACCCGATAGCAGTAATTGGCCGTCTCGGTGATGAACGCAGTTTTCTCTTCGTCTTGGGGGTGCATACAGATTTGATTGTATCCGGAGTACGCATACAGAAATGACAAAAATTTGTGACCAGATGCCCCATCCACAAGCCGATCAATATTTGGTAGGGGGTAGGCGTCCTTCGGGCAAGCTTTGTTTAAGTTGGTGTAGTCGGTGCACATGCGCCACTTCCCATTCGGCTTCTTTACCATGACTACGTTGGCCAACTAGGTTGTATAATGTACCTCTCGGATGAACCGAGCATCTAACAGCTTGCCGACCTCAGCCTCAATCGCTGCCTTCCTTTCTTCTCCGGCTTTCCGGCGTCGTTGAGCGATCGGCCTTGCTTCCTTGCTTATTGATAACTTGTGGAAGAGAAAATTAGGATCGATGCCAGGCATGTCGAATGGGTGCCAAGCAAATAAATCATTGTTTTCGAGGATCACTTGGCTAATAATCAATCGTTCTTGTTCAGATAGGTTGGCCCCTATGTAAGTAACTTGGGATTCCAGCTTTCCCACTTGAACCGATTGCTTGTCTTCAATAGGTTCTACCCTCTCTTCCTGATCGATCTGGGGGTCGAGGTCCATGGCCGATTGCTGTGACACCGAGTGAACGCCTCTCGGCTCCTTAGGCGCTTCGTCATTCACTCTTGGTAAGCGCAGGCTGGCAAAGTAGCATTCTCGCGCAGTCTTCTGATCGGCATGGACCGTGATAACGCGTCCTGACTCGGTCGGGAACTTCATAGCTAAATGAGGGGTGGACACGACCGCCCGAGCCGATTCAGGGATGGCCGGCCGAACAGAATATTATAAGATGTGTTGGCGTGAACTACCACATATTTAATCGAAATGTCTCGGTATTCGGCTCCTTCGAACCCAAACCGGGTTGACAGCTTGATATACCCCTTTGTCTTGACTCATTCGCCTGAGAACCCAACCAGAGGTTCATCATAAGGAACTAACTCGGATTCCAGAATACCCAACTACTTGAACATGTTCCAATACAGGATGTCGGCTGAACTTCCCTGATCAACCAACGTCTTACGCACAATACAGTTGTGAATTTCAACGCTGATTACCATCGGATCATCCTGGTCCGGGTCAATGCCTTTGAAGTCGGCCTTAGTGAAAGTGATGGTGGGAAGGCGGCGACGAACTGTTTCCACTGCATGCACATGCCGAACGACTCGCAGGTGTCTCCGTTGGGCCGATGAGGATGAGCCCCCGCCAGCGAATCCACCGGCTATGGTGTTGATGACTCGCCGAGGTTGTGCTGAAGGCTCGTCCTCTCTCCTATCTATTGACCGACTACGCTCCCTGTATGAGTGTGTTCCCGTTCTCCTCTGTTAGGGATGATCATGCCACCGAGACCGGTCGGCGTGTCGGGATGAGTTTGGGCGGTCTATGAAGCCTTGCAGTTGCCCTTACTTGATTAAGTCTTTAATTTTGTCTTTCAAGGCCGCGCATTCCTCTGTTGAATGCCCCCGATTGCGATGGTACCTGCAAGACTTTGTTGTATCGGCCCTGGGAGGGGTCGAAGCTGGTTTCAGGACTGCTAGCACCTCTGAGGCAAGTGTTTGCTCCAGGACGGCCGATCTGCATGTATTGAGTGGCGTATATTGTGAGTACCTCGGCCCGCGAGGAGGCCTCTCATGAGGAATCAGCTTTTTCGGACGACTCCGAAAATTAGTCTCGACCGGTTTGTCAGGTTTTGCCGACACCTCTGCTCGGGCTTGGTTCCGAAACTCAGCCAATTCTTCCATCTGCATGTATTTGTCGGCTCGCCGATGCAGGTCATCCATGTCAGTGGGAGGTTTCTTACAAATGCTGTTGGCGAAGGGCCGTGGTTTCAAGGCGGTGGTAAGGTGGTGTAGAGCTATAGCAAGGTTCAGGTCTCGGATTTCGAGCGCCGCTTTGTTGAACCAGCTCATGAACGCCCGAAGGGATTCCTTCTTTTCCTGATGGATACTAACTAGCGCCAACGAGGTCAACTGTGAGGTCGACTTGTAGCGAATTGAATGGTGAATTGGGAAGCTAACGTGCTGAACGAGTCAATCGAGTTAGCAGGAAGCCGAGTAAACCAGCTCAGCGCTCGCCCTTTTAATTGATAGAAAAGAATGGCACAATCCAAGAGGGCGGTGAATTGGATTCAATGACCCTTTAAAAATTTATCAGAGTATTTTGGATCTTAATTTCAATCAAAACTTTTCTATGACAGAATTTCCAAACGAAGCCCTCCTAAAGACTTGTTATGAGAATATGAATGCAATGTGCTTACTTGATTACAACATAATGAGGTTCAACAATAATGTTCAATTACAGGTTTAAACCATCAAGATTCACATACACTAGTTAATCAAGTTTTATCTTCTTTAATATTCAATTAAGCAATTACTTAAAGTAAGAGATAAGGTTGAAGAAGATTGCACAAGTCTTTTATACTGGTTCAGCCACTCCACATGTGACCTACATCCAGTCCTTAATCAACACCTGATTAAGATTTGTTCCACTATCTTTAATCAAGAAGGTTTACAAGCAAACACACATGCATATACTTCTATACTAAAGATAACCACTTTCTTGACCCCAAGAAAGCACCCCTTGTAGAACCCACTACAAGAAACCTTACCACTTGAGAAACCCTTCTCAAGATTTTCCACAAAGATTCACAAAGAATAAAAGGAACGAATTCATCTGGAATTCTTGAACAAATCTTTATCTTCCCCTTTCAAGAATATGATGATGATGATCTTCTACCAAAGCTTTTCACAAACGTTTTCACTCTTGGATTTCACAAAGAAAACTCTCCAAGATGTCACAAAGACTCACAAAAACGTTTTTCACAAATTGATTATCAGTTCTAACTCATGTCTGAAGTTTCTCAAAGTTCAAACTATTTATAAAAGTTTCAGACACAGATAATCAATTATTTTAAAGAATAATCGATTATTTTGTTCTTCAGATTTTCTGGAAATCAACCAAGAACAATATAATCGATTATTTAGCTGGATAATCGATTATTCCAGAGAGTTGTTCCTGGGATAATCGATTATTTCGGCAAATAATCGATTATTACAGCAAGGCATTCCACTTAGCCTATTTGCTGAAATAATCGATTATATTTAACAATAATCGATTATTTTGAGTTAGTTCTTAAAACTTCATTTTAAGACTCAAAATAACTTTCCAATGTTTTTAACTCATCATCATATACTCTCTACTTGGTTTAGATAAGATTTGATTATGCACAAAGCATACTAAGCACACAAAATATAAAAACACATTCAAAACAATTTATTTCCTAAGCTCTATTACATAGCTCCATTTCATAGCATTTTCTTGACTCTTCTTTGACTTTGTTTTTGTGCTCCAAGTTGTTGTTCTCATGTTGTGATCATCAAAACTCTTTAAGCTCTCCTAAGCTCAACAATCTCCCCCTTTTTGATGATGACAACCCATGGTTCATATTGAATCAACCCAATGCGATTGTGCTTAAAAAAAAAAAAAACATCAGCCATTGTGCCTTTAAATCATTTCAACCTGCACAATACCTGCAAAAACAACAACTAAACACACCATACCATACACCATACCATTTCTCCCCCTTTGGCATTATCAAAAACAAAGTAAGCCAAGTTTAACAAATATAAGCATTGGTTCAGCAAGTCATTTGTGCATTATACAACCACAATTCAGACCAAATTAAACCAAGCAAATATATCCACCATATCAAAAACAGAGTATGCCAATTAGAACCAAAAATAACCACACTAATCAACATATATGCTCACAAAAACAGAGCATTTTGCATCAGCATCCCAAATCACACTTTGGAATCAAAAATCAAGCCAACACATTAGCAAACCAAACTTCAAATTCATCAAACTTAAATTGTTCAACAACAAAAAGCAATAAAATTGTTCAGGAATTAAAATCATTACAACCAAATTGAACTTAAATTGTTCCAAACTAGAATTAAAAACTAATCAAAGAAACAAAACAGAAATCAATCCTCATCGTCCGGAATACCAAGCTGGGTCTTGATCAGTCTCACTTCATAATCCAAATCATCAAATCTGTCAAGAATTCCAGAAAACAAGGATTCATGCCTCCGAGACATTTCCATCATTGCATCCATTTTGTTGATCATGATTTGCTCAAACTGTGAGAACGGCTTCAGTTCCGGTTCACCTTCCCTAGGCTCAGCTTCCACCTGTGGTGGCTGATCCTCATCATGAGAAGGAACTCCATCCTCATCAGTTGCTGGCTCCGGTGTAGGAGGTACATCTCCTTTAAAAACCCACTTGTCTTCTTGCTTCAGCATCCCCATATGATGCAAAGAAGACTTCTCAATCTTATTTGAAGCATGCAACACAATCTTTCTTTCACCTGTCAGATCTACACCAGCATTTTCATACCAGCATTCTCAAAGATTTTAGACAAAAGCAAAGCATAAGGAATTGGACCGTCTTCCTTTCTCCTTACTTTCCATATACAATCGTTGACAACCGACACCCAATCAATTTTAATTTTCTTCTTAATGACATGCATCAGCAAAATGTCATCTCGAGACATTTGAGCATGGTTGTGCAACCTCGATTTTAACATCCAGGCAATAATGAAAGAAATTAAACGAGAGTTTTTCTTCATACCTCCCGCCAAAAATTTCTCATAGTTGGTGTTTGACGGAACCCTTTGACAGTCCCAAAAGGTTGTGAGTTCTTCAAAATCTCCAAAGTTGAATGGCTGGGGTTTCTCTGCTCCTGTCCCACTCAGACCCGCAGCCGCTTTCAGAGTTGGTCCGTCCAACTTGATTAGTTTGCCCTTCACCACTGATTGCATAACTCCTCCGTTAGTAGTGGCAAAACAGAGAAATAACCTAATCAGTTCCGGGTAGTAGGGTCCTTCCATCTCCAGGAACGCCTTCAACTCCTGATGCTCCAAAAGGGTTGGAAAGCTAAACCCTTCATTCTTGAACCATTCAAGCTTCAGGGTCTTCGGAGGAATGATTCTTTGACCAGTGTACCACTCGAAGTAATATTCTTGCGCTTTCTCATCCACGAACCACTTCGAAATCAGTTGCACTGAGGGAAGAGGACGCTTGCTCCCCCTCACTTCCAACTTCTTGGGCCTCTTGGAAGAAGATGCCATGGATGGGTTTTTGAGAAAGATGAAGAAGATGAGAGATTTGGGAGGATTTGAGAGGGTTAGGGTTTTGAGGGTTTGGGAGAAAATGAGAGAATGAGAGAAGAAGAGAATGAGAGAAGAAGAGAATGAGAGTGTTTTTGAAGCCCTAGCACGTTCTGGGGATCTTAGCTACTGTTTATCCAGGTACGGGAGAAAAAGGAATTATTTGTATGCAAAGTTACATGAGGGAATTGGGTAGAAGAAGAGTCCCTTAGGATTATAGGTAATTTTATAATTATTTCTGTTTGAGGAATTGATGATCCCATTAGATTCTGTATGTATTGAGGATAAGAAATATATATTTAATTTGTAAGAATGATAATCTGGGAGAGAGAACGAAATTGTAGAAAAGTGTCTGTGAGTTAGGTTTTAGAAAAATTGGGGGTTTTACTATTTGATTTAATATTGTATTAAATTGATGTATTAATTGAGTTTTATATTAATGTTATATTATTGTTATAGATGTATATTTATGGTGAATTGCTTGAGGAATATGTGAATCATTGTATTGTGTGGATTTATTGTATGTGATATGAAATTGAGTTATGAGATGGAATGTTGTATTGAATGTGAATATGAATGTAATTGTGGTTCCTCACACATATGACCAGGGATGAGACGACCCCTGGATAAGTGATGCTACAAGGATAGCGTGCCCCTGGCATAGTGTGGGATGAGTGAGGCAATTAACACGTATCACTTATGTCAGATGTGGCAGCCTTGGCATAGGGTTAATTGTAAGAGATTGTGTGGATTTTAATTTGATTGTTGTTCCTCACACTAATGACTAGGGAAGAGACAAACCTTAAGTAAGTGATGCTACAAGGACGAGAGTGCCCCTGACATGGTGTGGGATGAGTGTGGCAATTAACCCGTATCACTTGTGTCAAATGTGGCGTGGCCTTGGCATAGTGTTAATTGTAAGATTTGTGTGGATTGTGATGGATTGATGTAATTGTGAATTGAGATGTGAAGATGATGAATTATTGACAAATTATGATATATATAAATGCTGGTGAACATGTTATTAAGTAATGAGTTATGATGGGATTATGTTGTGTTTTTCCAGGAGGACTTTCCATATAGATGTTTTCTTTTTTCACCGTATAGTTTGTGGATGTTTTAGGTGAGGAAAATCCGACTTTGAGTGGCATCTAGAATGCCAACCATTGAATTATGGGTATGCTCTGATATTGTGACATCGGGGCAGATGATTTCTAGAACATGGATTTTTATATAGATTTGGAGTTGTATTTATTATTTTGAAAACACTTTGTAAACTCTTATGTTTTATTTCCTAATTTTTAGTTTCAATCATTTTGGATATTGAAGAACATTTGTGAAGGTTTTTATGTGAACCCTTTTACCAACGTTGAGAAATTTATTCGTTAGTTTTATTATTACAATATATGTGTTGGGGTAGTAAGGGTGTCACAGACCACTTCTGGCCCGCTAGCTTCACTCACTAGCGCTAGCATTCTCAAACCACTTCTGGTTCACAAGTATTCTTTCTCTAGCCTCTTTAGGCTTTACAACAATTTAAGGTGTTGAGTGTGTTTGCAACTCTCACGGAGAGGATAGGGTAGTTTATACACTCACTAAGGTGCGTAACCTTAGTCTTACAGGGATAAGTGTCCAAGTGTTTGTTTACTCTCGTAGAGAGGATGGACTATTAGCAACACTCACTAAGATAAGTTATCTTAGTTTTTACACAGATATATAGGGAATACTTTGAGAAGAAAAA